AATACATATTATAAGAACATATAAAATGGTCCATGCAAATAAAAAGACCGGGAGGTAGACAAACTGTTAATATACATTATCTCTGGGTAGTAGGAGAAAATAGAAGTTTTTGTTTGTTTCCCTTTACAATATGCCTTTTAGATATAAGCAAAAAGATGCCTGTTCCTTCTTCTCAATAACTACATGATTATAGGCAAATTTCTTAAATTAGGTAAACCTGCAGCTAATATGCAGCATAGACATTAAGATCTCACAGAATTATTCTGAGAAATAAAATTATACATACCAAGTATTTAGTGCAAACACAGTAAATGGTACCTTTCTTAACCTTCTTATTTCTTCGGACAGTAAAGTTATCTAAGTGATATATGTAGACATCATACAGAAAAACTGGCAAGTATTTCTGCAGTAAGATAACTGGAGAAAACAAAAGGGGAAGACAGTAGTATACCCATATTTTGCTGTGTATAATGTGCACCCATGATTATGTGCACATTATACATAAATTATACCCATTTTAATACACATGGTATGTAATCATTATACTCATGTGTAATGCACATCCTTATTTTCCCTCAAAAATTTGGGCAAAAAAGTGCACATTGTACACAACAAAATACAGTAATGGTCCTCAGAGGCCATTAACTTTATTATGTATTATTTAGTTTTGACAATTTTCAGTATGTTTCAGTTGAATTTACCCTAAGGCTTTAAAAAAGCCACCAGTTTAAGCATATACCTTTCTCTGTATGTGTATTGAGAACTGAAAAATACTTAATACCAGAAAACTGCATTATTTAGCACATTTAACTCTGAGGTAGCCATCTCATCAACTGAGTGTGTATTTGACAAGCAAAAACTATCTGCAAGGATAATCATCACTGCATAATTCCTAATAGCAACAAATTGAAGACAACCCATATGCATCAACAAAGGAATGTTTTAAATTATAGTACAGCCATATTATGAAATACAGAGACAATAAAAAGAATGAAGGTCTCTCTGGCTGGTGTGGTTCAGTGGATTGCTGGCCTGGGAACCAAAGGGTTGCAGGCCAGGTCCCCAATAGGGGGTGCACAAGAGACAACCACACGTTGATGTTTCTCTTCCTCTCTTTCTCCCTCCATTCTCCTCTCTAAAAATATATATTTCTTAAAAATTAAAAAAGAATGAAGGCCTAGCCTTGGCTGGGTTGCTCAGTTGGTTGGAGCATCATCCCATGTACCAAAAAGTTGTCGGTTTAATTACCTAGGTTGTGGGTTCAGTCCCTGTTCAGTAGGCAACCGATCAATGTTTCTCTCTCACATTGATGTTTTTCTTTCTCCTTTCCTCTCTAAAATCAATAAACATATCCTCAGGTGAGGATAAAAATAAAAGAATGAAGGTCTATTTGCCTCGCTATGTGAAATGTTAATATACACGTAAATTGTGTAACTATATGATCTTATTCTTTTTAATTAACCTAAATGCATACAAAAAAAATCTAGCTGTATACTCATTAACAACGATTATCCTTGAGTAGGGGACTTGCTCACATAGGTGGAAATTTTACTCATTTTTACTTTGGTTTATAAGTAGTTAATTCTAGGTTATTTTTAAAAATACACCAGTCAAGCAGATTCAGTAAGATTCTTGAATCTTCTATTTCTTAGCAGTATTAGTATTTTCTATGACAAAATACAATCCAAATGTTGTGCAATACTATAATTTTCTAACATACAATGATGAGTTCTGTCCAGGAAAAGAGCAGCCATTGTTAAGATGAGAACAGTTGGCACATCAGTGTAACCAGGTAGCCAAGGAGAATGGACTGGGAATGCACACACATGAACAGTGATTTCACTGTAGTGAGTGGGAGCAGACGTTGTTGAGTGAGCATAGCTTGTGTACTGTGTGGTGTTGTATTCAAAACGACTGAGCAGTAAGGCAGGGAGGAGATAAAAAAATTTTAAAAAAACCCACAATGCCTGAGTAGGGCAACAAATCTGCATCAAATTGTGTGTTAAGCTTGAACATTCCCCCACAAAAACTATTCAGGTGATTCACAAGGCCAAGCAGCTATGGACAACTGATGACTGGCAGCTTCATCAGGACAATGCGCCTGCTTATGCATCACATCTCGTTTTTTTGGCAAAACATCACATCACCCAGGTGACTCAGCCCCTCTACAGCCCAGATTTGGCATCCTGCAATTTCTGACTTTCCCCACAACTAAAATCACCTTTGAAGGGGAAGACATTTCAGGCTGTCTATGAGATTCAAGGATATACAACTGGGCAGCTGATGGCAATGGGGAGAACTGTGAGGTCCCAAGGTGCCTACTTTGAAGGGGACTGAGGCATCATTGTCCTGTGCACAATGTTTCTTGTATTTTCAATAAATGTCTCTTTTTTCATATTACATGGCTGGATACCTCCTGGATAGACCTCTTACAGCAGGTGTTGTTTAAGCATTACTCTTTCAAGGAACTTTTTAATTGAAAAAAACTTACGATGCATATTCACTTTTAATAGAAAACATGAGACAAAGCATGAGACATTAATCATCAATAAGACACTAGGAAAAAACATTGTCCTCCATTGGTTTAAAAGTAGTCTTTGTTGTCCTGTTTCAGAAGAAAACAAGAGGGCTTTCTGAAACAGGAAATAAAAGGCATTTTTCCCAGTGATCAAAATCTTCACCAACTCAGTAAATTGGTTAAAATGAAAGAGATTTACTATCCTAAGTGCAAATACTGTCTTTTGGTGTGACATCCACGTTGTCTAGAGCAGTTCTGCTCAAATCAATCCAACATCCAAGAACCCACTTTCAATCAGCAAAGACACAGGCATGCAATATTTAACATTAAATGCAAAATCTCAAACAAGCAAGCACAGTTAAAAGTTAAGTAAGGCTACAAATCAAGTAAAAAACACTGTCACTTCTGGTCTTGAGGGAAATAATCATAAATACCAAATTCTCAAGTACCCTCAATCCTTTAACATTACCAAATCAAAGGCTATCTTAAACGTGTATCCCAAAGTCTGAACAGATTTTTGTTAAAAACGAAAATTCATTTTGAAGTAGATTTAAATATGAAATTTATGTTCCCAATCACTAATTCATAGGAGGAAACAACCCACATTATATTCTGACAGTTACCACTATAAATAACCACTTGCAAGTGTTAATATCAAATTTTAAAAATTAAAATTAGTATCAATTTTAAAGACCTTTTAAACCACTTTTAACTGATTATCATTTAACTTATACTAAAAATACTGTAAATGCAGTTCTTCACAATAGGGAAACAAAAAATAGATTTTTATTTTACTAATCTTTCCAATTAAAGCATGGTACAAAAATTGTATTAACTACATTCTGTATCACCTAATTCCATAAACTCACATATTAAATTTGAATATTAAGATACTTCTCACAGACAGAAAGAAGTCAAAACATACAACTGGTTGTTGGCGCCCCCCCAAAAAAAGTCCCAGATGCCAAAAATGCTTGCATACAAATCAACAAGAGGAATTTCAGAAAAAGTACCATTATGCTTTTGCCTCCACTAAATACCAGTCCAAATTACAGAAATTTGTAAAGGTAGATATATGACAATGAACAAAACAAAGTTGCTTTTCTAGCAGAGGAATTTTTACATAATTCATTTAACTTTTTAGAAGTAACTATGTTGGGATTCAAAATGACAACAATCTTATCACTTTGAAAACTCTCCAAAAAGTGGTCTATTCCAAACTGACCCAGAAAAAAAATAGATCTTTCCACTAAAACTGAGTAAAAGACAAGCAGAGTAACAATTATACCAAAAAAAATTTAAGCATATCCTTCTCTGTATCCTAGAAGCCCCCAAAATGCTGGACCAAATTACCAAATGAAGTACACATGCAGTGTTTCACTAAAAGTGAAAAATACTACCCACTTAAGGGAACTGTAGAGCAACTTGAGAGCAAAAGATCTGACTATGTGTTTATTCAATGTGCAAAAACCTCTATCCCATTTATCATACAAGTACACTTAGATATTTGTACCAAGCATCAGCTATCCTTTGTCACAGTGACAACTGAGCATCCATGATCTGGTTTAGCAACCTTGACCTTTCCTCTAGAAAAGCAGAGCTTTGGCAGTTAAGAAAAAATTGGCAAGAATTAGATCTTTAGAAATATACCATGACAAGAACTAAAAGAGAAGGGAGTGGTCAATGTTAAAATAGTCTTTAAACCAAAGAATCTCCCCCCTTTTCTTAGTATGGCTTTCAAGATTCGAGCCAATCATTTTATAACATTAAAGTAAATAAATGTTCTAGATTAATAGGTAATCTGAGCCCACCCACCAGGTTATACATACTCTCACTCAATCATGTAAAGAATTGAATTCTTTATTTGTGATATCCATAAACGTTGCTATTCTATATTTCTATCCAGGAAGGCAATTTTCTCCTGTATTATTTCATTTTGTTATTTATAAACAACTGAAATCTACTGCATTAAAGGGCTACAAATACACATTTGTCAACCAAACAGAATACAGATATTTCGCTTTACAATTTGCACCTAAGACACCAGTACATGTAGCTGGTTCATGTTGTCATAGCAATTTGGGGCCATTGCCCAAGCTATGCATAGCAGTTTACATTTTCAAATCTCTGGTAAAAAGGGCAATTGTGATATGGGTTGTTAACTACATTCCTGTTATGCCCACCTAAAGTAAACGTGTAACCAAAGTCTGAACAGATTTCTTGATGGCAAAACTTCTAAATCTGATGCAACTGTTCCAAACAAGTTTTTAAACAAATTATTTTGCACATATACTGCCATTTTGCCAGTAGATGGCGCCACAAACGTTGGGGGAAGGATTTCCGTGAGGACAGCAGCTATAGGAAAAAACGTTTAAACCTGCTCTGAAAATACAAAAATGCATTTAGTTTAAAGGTAAAATAGAACCCTTATTGTAGCCATTCATTACAGACAAACCATTAAGAGGGATAAAACTAGGCCATGTGAAATTTTTTAAATAGTTTATATGAATGAAACACATGCTTTACACAAAATATTTCTTTAGAACTGCACGGTACATACGTTTAAGTAAATTCTCATAAAAAGAAGTAACCAATAATGTCAAGATGATAAACAAATCCTTTAGTACAAGAGATGGTCGCACAGAAACTTTAAAGATTTTTAAAAAGCCACATCCACCATTTTAAAAGTTTTGCCTGAAAAGGGATAAAATTCAACACATCACTACTAGGGCAACAGGATGAAAAAAAAAAAAAAAAACCAGGACCTTTCAAAAGTCCCTCTAAGTACACATCAAAATTAAGAATTAACACAAAAAAAATTTCAACTAATATCCCTTAAAACGGTACGAAATGGATCATAGAAAAAAAATGTTACACCATGTACGGTCAAACACAATGGTTTATTAAAAATAAAACGTAAAAATGATTTTTGTACATATGCTTCCAAACTTCAGGCATGGGATCCAAGTAGATTTCATAGAAAACGCTGTAGCCAGGTATCAAGTCCTCACAACAAAGTAAACTAACCCCCCCACCCCAACTCCCACCCAAGTTTTGCTACAGAATCAGCAAGTTCACTCCCTCCCCCCAAAAAACACAAATTAAAACAAGACATTTTGCTAGTATAAAAACGACGAAAGTCCAAGTAATAATAAAAAAATATAGTCCATCAATAACTGTAACACAAAAATGTGTATGTGGGGCAGAGTCCATCTTCAGAGGCAGAGACGAGAGAGGTGGCAGGCAAACTGGGCAACACCCCCAAGAGTAAGCAGCCTTAGAAGCAGCTCCCCCAAGGGCAAAATGGGGAGGGCGGTGGGAGGGGAAGGGACTCGGGAACTGACCCTAGGTGGGTGGTTGAAGAGCTACCCCTATAGCCACTCCCAGGTACTTAAAAAAAATTTAGAAGGAACTGCCTCCATAACCACCCCCACCGCCATAGCCACCTCTGTAAGGTCCACTGTTACTGCGACCGCCCCAGCTGCTGCCTCCTCCGCCGCCACCGCCACTCTTCATGGGCCCATAGGAGGACTGGTGCTGGGTGTAGCTGCCGAAGCCGCCGAAGCCGTTACCGTAGTCGCTTCCACCGTAAGACGAACCGCCTCCGCCTCCTCCGTAGGCATTGTAGCCGCCGCCGCCGTAACCACCATAGCTGTTGTAACCGCCGCCGCCGCCCTTAGACAGGCCGTTCTGGTCACGACCGCCACCGCGACCGCGGCCGCCTCGGCCGCCTCGGGAGGACCGGGAGCCGCCTCCGCCCCCACCGGAGTGGATATCCTCCTTGGGGACGGCCTTCTTCACCTCCACACGATGGCCTTGGATTGGATGGAACTTGACCACCGCGGCCTTGTCTGCCGCGTCGTGATTCTGAAAATACACGAAGCCGAAGCCACGCTTCTTGCCTGACTGCTTGTCGGCAATAATCTCGGCCTTCTCCACGGTGCCAAACTGCGAGAAGTGCTCGATCAGGTCACCCTCGGCCACGTCTCCTTTAAGGCCCCCAACAAAGAGCTTCTTAACCTTGGCGTGGGCTCCGGGCCGCGCCGAATCCTCGCGGGACACCGCCCGCTTCAGCTCCACCGTGTTGCCGTCCACTGCATGGGGCGAGGCGGCCATGGCGGCATCAGCCTCCTCCACATTGGAATAGGTCACGAAGCCGAAGCAACGGGAGCGCTTGGTCTGGGGGTTCACCACCACCACGCAGTCCGTCAGAGTCCCAAAGGCCTCAAAGTGGCCGCGCAGGCCCGACTCACTCGTCTGCACATTGAGGCCGCCTATGAACAGCTTACACAACTGGGAATTATCCATCTCCAAGGGCCGGGCCTTTCCCCCGCCCTGCGAGCTCCGAGGTTTCGCCGTCGCCGTTATCGTTGACTAAAGCCTCTTCACAGCTTGGGCCCAGCCGTTGCTGGAGCCGCCACCGCCGCCGGTCACCGGCGGGGGAGGGAAGGAGGGAAGGGGAGGGAAGGAGGAAAAAAGGAAGGGGGAGGGAAGGGGAGAGGTGCCGGCTAGAGGGCGAGCTGAGAAAACTGGAAGACAACCAAGGCCGTTACTACCGCCACAGCCACCACCACCTCCGCTCTCCTACCTAGGCACCACACAAAGAGGCCGCTGAACGCGCGCGCACCCTCCCCGAGCCAAGCGTCACCGCCGACGTACCGCAGCTCAGGGCTGCCCGCCAATCCCCGCCTAGCTCTCCTTAGTCCCGCCTACCGCGCCGCAGCGCCGCCGCTCTTGATCACGGACTCCCCGCCCTTCGCCGTCGGTGCAAGCCCTCGGCCTTCTCCGCATTTGTCGCGTTTCTACCGCCCCGCTTCCACTCCCGAACTCTCCTGTGTGTCCTGACAAGGGACTACCCCTGCCTTTTGCGTAACTCTGCGACTCATTTCCCCCCCAGCAATGAGGCTGTTCCTAGTGATTTTTACCCCTCCCCTTGCCATGTCCCCTCGCCCAACTCCGCAGTGGCGTTCGCGCCAGCCCCTTGAGAGGCATGTCAATTCAGCCAATCACCGCAACCCACTCGCACTCACTTCCGTTTTCCGCAGCCGCCGAACAGGCGCGCTCCGTGGAGCGTGCCGGTCCTGATACTCCCTATTGCGGAGCTTCCCTGCTTCCCTGTCATCCCACACCTCCTCCCGCCCCGGTCTTGGGGGGGGGGGGTTGGGAAGGGCGATGAGCCGGGTTCTCTGAGGTCCGTTCCCAACGGATGCGGCCTGGGACGCCACGCGCGGGCTTTTTGAAAACTTGACTGTTGGGGAAGGGGGCCTGTATTCACCCACCAGGTTCCGACAGGGTCGCTACACCTGGTATCCTCACTCCTCACTTTGGCACAATGATGGAGGGCAGAGACCTGGTTGGGGAAGAAGATTAGCCATTTACTATAGGCCCCACGCGCGGCTTAACTAAAACGTGGGCACGTGGCTCTGCGCAAAAGCGAGCCCCAGGCAACTTGAAGGACAGCAGTGTGCCAAAAGCGCTGAAGACTTTACACCCTTTTGGGCCACCCGTGAAGCCCTTATGCGGTGCCCTTCTAAATCCCCCTGAGCTAAGACATTTTCATTTTACCTCAGTGAACATATCTTACAGGTTTAGTTGATGATAATCTATTGCTTTTTTTCCCCAACTAAAATGTTGGCTTTTAAAAAAAAAAAAAAAAGATTTATTTCTTTTTAGAGAGGGGGAAAAACAGGGTTGCCTCCGCCCGCCGCCCGCCCCCACCCCCACCAGAGGAATCCCTGCAACCCAGGCATGAGCCCTGACCAGGGATGTACCTGTGGCCTTTCACTTCGTGGATGGACGCCAACCAACTGAGCCACACCAGTCAGGGCAAAACATTAGCTTTTTATCCGTGTTTAATACCAGGCTAGAAAATACATAAACATTATATATTGGGTTGGCCAAACAGTTCATTTGTTTTTTTCTGTAAGACGGCTCTAGTAGTGCTTAGCCAGCTTTAACTTCATTTGAAAAGAGTTAGATTGTATTTTAACAGGTGTCTTATCAGCATACACTTTTTAAAAGCATCAAAATTGGTGAATTTTTGTGTAGCCATTTTAATATTGAAGATGGAAGAAAATAAGCAACATTTTCAGCACATTATGCTTTATTATTTCAAGAAAGGTAAAAATGCAACTAAAACGCAGAAACAGTTATTTGTTCAGTGTATGGAGGTGCTATGACTGATTAAACATCAAGGTAGTTCCAGAAGTTTTGTACTGGAGATTTCTTGCTAAAGGGTACTCAGTCAGGTAGACCAGTTGAAATTGACAGTGACCAAACTGAGACATTAATTGAGAACAATCAATGTTATACCACATGGGAGATAGCCAACATACACAAAATATCCAAATTAATAAAGGTTATTTATTGGTGAAAATAAAAAATGTGTCTTTTATTTCATGGAAAAAAATTAAATAGACTTTTTGGCCAACCCAATTCAAATATGCACCCCTGATAACCTCTTTGTAGACCCTAGTTCAGGTGAGAATGACAGAAAAATTATAACTTCCACTTATTGAACCTTTGTGTACCAAGCAACACATGGTATGTGGCATAGAATGAGACATGATATAACCAAAAGTTCCCCACATGTGGTAAATAAATATTGAAGAAGACGAAGGATTTGTGAAAGAGATGGAAATTACACTGAATTTCAGAGGCAAAGGCTAAATAAGATTTTTATAGGCAGTTTATCTGAGCAAAAGCTGGAGGACACAGACCTGTTTGGAGCAGGAGGTTTCAACACAACACAGGTAAGACTGATTGAGTACCTTGGATATTATGATACCTTGAATTTCAGATTGAATTTGAATGTTATTTCAAAGGTATATAGATAAGCTATAAGGTTTGGAAATAAAGAGCACAGTGCCTGCCTGGCACTTAGTAAGTGCTCCATTTATTTCACAAATACTATGTTAAGTGCTGAGAAAATGTCAGTCAACAATAGTCAAAAATCTGTCATCATGGAGCTTACATTCTAGTGGGGAGAAGAAGACAATACACATCTTAGACTACGATAAGTGTCACTGTGGAAAAAAGAGGACAATAGTAAGCTATTATCTTGTTATAAAAAAACAAGTCAGATATTTTGGGATTACTAAATGATGATAAAGGGTGAGAGAAATAAAAGCATTCCATGATTAAAATCAGGCAGCCTAAAATGCAGCAACAGTAGAACTAGAAAATCTAAGACAACTGTTTTGGAGAGAGTGGGGAAGATGATGAACATAGTTGTAAATGTTTAAGGTGACACTGGTACTCATGCTGTAGTGTTTTCTGGAATGCCTAAGACTGTAGCTCAGATGAGAGAGTAGACTTCTGGAAATACATCTTAGAGTCATCCAAAAAAATGTTAAAACAGTAAAAGATTAATTTCTGAAGGAAAGAATAAAACTGTAACTTATTGTCCCATCTAAACTATAAATTCTAAAGTAACAGTTTTTTTTCTTATATTGTTTAAAAATTATCCTCCACATCATCTAATTGGGGATCTATTATGGATTAATTTCTCTTGAAGAGGAAAGCTTCATAGAGGTGTATGTCTGGTATAAGCCTTACATATAGAAGAGACATTCAGGAAGCCCAGATGTAAGAAAAGTGGATGTGAGATTGTTCTCAAAGATTAGATTGGTAAAGGTAGATAAAGTGGATAAAGAGTGTTATATAAACATTTAGATGATGCAGTCAGTTTCCTACCTCTCAGATCGTTCAGGAAGACAAACTTTTTTTACCTACTTTACTTTTAGGTCATTACCTAAAATTGTATCTTGGCTTTATCTTGCTTATTGATGTGTCAGTCTTCCAACACACACCAAAAAAACATAAAAATATAACTGGAATTTAGACAACCTTTGGTTCCATCCCTACTGCAAGCTTGATTACAAAAACATCATTGAATGTGATGGTTATACAACTCATAGAACTTCACACTAAAAAGAGTGTATTTTAATATTCCTAAATTATATCTAGAAAAAGAAAGAGAGAACTGGGGAAAGGGAAAAAGAATTGAGGAAGAAAGGGAAAACTATGGCCATCTATATTTTCAGAAAGAAGCAACTTTGATTATCTTTTTAGTCAACATTTTGTAACATTCAAGAATGTCTTTTTGCAGTTAAGGTTCTTTTGTGGACTGCACTGTGTTTTTCCCCCACCCTCAAGTTCACATGTTGAATCCCTAGCCCCCAGTATTAATGAGTGTACCTGTAACTGAAGATGAGGTCTGCAAAGAGGTGATTGACTTAAAATAAGGCTATGTGGGTGAGTCCTTAATCCAACAGGACTGGTGTCCTTATAAGAAGAGGATGAGACTTAAAAGATAATAATAATATTAAATATAAACTGTGATTGAAAAATTAAAAAAATAAACTCCATGTTAAAAAGACAGAGAAAGAAGAAGGGAATAAGACACCAAGAGGCACATGTGCATAAGGTTAAAAATAATGACCATGTCAGAGGCAGCAAGAGAGTGGCCAAGCCAAGGACAGAGGTCTCAGAAGAACCCAACTCTGCCTTCAGAACTGCAAGAAAATTAATCTCTGTTGTTTAAGCCACCAGTCTGTGCTGCTTTGCTATGAGAATCCTAGCAAACTAATACATCGACCTAGAAAAGAAGTGCTTTCAGTGTCCACATTCAGAAGTATGAGACTTCACGCATTTGTACCTGCAAATGTGCCTGTACACATCTTGCCTGGATTTCTCTAGGCAAGATTACAACAGATTTAGTGATTTTAACCTATGAATTCTATAACAGGGTCACCGAAGTACATTCTTAAAATTACATAAATTAACTTTTGGGTTGGAATTTTATGGCTTTTATTTATATTACCCTAAAAGTTTATATATTTTTAGTGCATTGTTTTGAAGTCTAGTAAGAACTCCAAATTTTTTTAGTATTTCCTGCAGCAAATCAATGTGAAAATCAAGTTTTTAATTGTACCTGTTTGCAATGTGGATAACAATTTACAAAGCTTCTTTTCCTAACTTACAACAGTAAAGAAAAATAATTTGCATTGATTGAGCTCAAATGCCATCAACCTAAAAAATGGCAACTCAGAATGAGATCTAATTTGTGAAATGTTCTATACTCACACCTATGAGTGAAGCAACATTCATACCACCATATACATTTTGACTCCTCAGGAATCTGGTCCTTCCTCATTTCTAAGAACACCTGAACACAGGAAAGAACAGGTTAGTCTACTCAGTAAGCTGCAAGAGTGGTATGTAGTGTAGTTTTCAGTGAGTTCAGGTTATATATAAAGCTTTTCTGAATCATTCAGGATCTAAACATTTTTAGTTAAATGATATTTATTATAATTTTAGTATATTAATATTAGGGAAAGAAAGCTACAGATTTTTTCAACTAAAACCAGCACAATAGTAAATATAAAAATAATTAGTCAAGATTTATGTGAGCAACAGTGTAATGATGAAATTAGCAGCTATGAAATCAAGAATCACATGCTCCCTGAGAAACCTATTTCATATGATAATCACTGGCTGAAATCTCTCAGTATAAATAGCAGTGATTTGTTTAGGATTGGCTATGTGTACACCCTAATTTACCTGAAACCTATTTGACTTTGCTGCCCAAAATTCTAAATATGATTTATTTTTCAGTTTCTGAAATAACATATGAAGCACTTTTCATTCATCAGTATCAATTAAATGGGCTTCTTTCAAGGTTTAAAATTGCATATAATTCAGTTCAAATTCTAATAATTTGCCAATTCCCATCATTGGTTTGGGGTGATTTATTTTTCATTAAGCTCTGATATGATTATCTACTGTATCCAGCCAAAACATATACATTTTCTAGGTTTCATCACAAGGTTTTGTGCATGGTTTTATAAAATCATAGCATTAAAATC